TCTTTCCCTTATTTCTTCCAGTCTAAAAAAACACAAAAAACAAAAAACCTCCTAGTTTAAGGCTACTTTTTAGTGTATAAATCAGAATAGCAGTTACATCTTTGGAAGAAGAAGGGCTACCAACTGGGAAGGGACACAAGGGAACTCTCTTAATAGTTTTGGAAATCTTTATCTTGATCTGAGAATTACAGAGATATGTGTACATATGGACAGCTATATAGGCACAAATGTAAGTAAAGATACATTGACTTGTACTCTAAAAACTTGTATGTTTTACTGTATGTTAAAAAAAAAGAAAAAAGAAAAAACTATCTTTCATGAAGCTTCAGATCCACTAAACCAAATGAGACTGTTCATGCTTCTGAAACCCATAGTCCTTGGTCTGCAATATTATATTATCAATATTAATATATGTGGGTATAGATAATGGCCATGATAAAGGTTCTTGAAAGTAAATACTACATATTCTTCATCTTCTACTCCTTATGACTCCTAGTATGATGTCCTTCACCTAGAAGAATGTGGTGTGCTTCAACTTCTTCTTTATGACTGAGTATCATAAAGAATTTTTCTAAAAATTCTACCTCTAGGGACTTGTAATTTCTCTAATTCACTCATTTGAAAGATAAGTAAGATATACTGTGCTCACAGATTAGAAGAATTAATATTGTTAAAATGTCCATACCACCCAAAGCAATCTACAGATTCAATGCAATCCCTATCAAAATACCCTTGGCATTTTTTTACAAAACTACAACAAATGATCCTAAAATTTGTATAGAACCAGAAAAGACCCAAAAAGCCAAAGCAATCTTGAGAAAAAACAAAGATGGAGGTATCACACTCCTTGATTTCAAACTATATTATAAAGCTATAGAAATCTAAACAGTATGGTATTGGCACATAAACAGACACACAGATCATTGAAATAGGATACAGAGCCCAGAAATAAACCCACACTCATATGGTCAATTAATCTATGGCAAAGGAGGCAAGAATATACAATGAGGAAAAGACAGTCTCTTCAGTAAATGGTACTAGGAAAACAGGACAGCTACATGGAAAAGAATGAAACTAGACCACTTTCATAAACCGTATAAAAAATAAACTTGAAATGGATTAAAGACTTAAATGTAAGAACTGAAACCAAAACACTCCTAGAAGAAAACAGAAGCACTACACTCTTTGACATAGGTCTCAGCAATATTTTCTTGGATCTGTTTCCTCAGATAAGAGCAACTAAAGCAAAAATAAACTACTGTGACTACATCAAACCAAAAAGTTTTTGCACAGCAAACGAAACCATCAGTAAAATGAAAAGGCAACCTACTGAATGGGAGAAGATATTTGCAACTGATTTGTCTAAAAATGATTAATATCCAAAATATACAAAGAAATCACACAATTCAGTATCACAAAAAACCCAAACAATCTGATTAAAAAATGGGCAGAAGATATGAACAGACATTTTTCCAAGACACACAGATGGCCAACAGACAGATGAAAAGATGCTCAATATCACTAAGCATCAGGGAAAAGCAAACCAACCACAATGAGATATGACCTCACACCTGTCAAAATGGCTATTCTCAAAAAGACAACAAATAATAAGTGTTGGTGGAGATGTAAAGAAAAGGGAACTCTCATGCACTGTTGGTAGGAATGAAAATTGGTACAGCCACTATGGAAAACAATAATGAAGCTTCCTCAAAAAATTAAAAATAGGACTACCATACAATCCAACAATTTCACTTCTGGGTATTTAACCAAAGAAAATTAAAACACTAATTTGAAAATATATATGCCCCCCCGCAATGTTCACAGAAGCATTATATATTTACAATAGCCAAGATATGGAAACAACTTAAGTGCTCACCGACTGATGAATGCATAAAGAAGATGTGGTATATGTGTTGTGTGTGTGTGTGTGTGTGTGTGTGTGTGTGTGTGTGTATACACACAATGGACTATTAGCCATAAAAAGACTGAAATCTTGCCATTTGTGACAGTATGGATGGGCCTAGAAGTATGATGCTAAGTAAAATAAATCACACAGAGAAAGACAAATATCTTATGATTTCACTTATATGTAGAAACTAAAAAGCAAAACAAGCATACATAGCAAAACAGAAACAGACTCATAGATAACAGAGAACAAACTGGTAGTTGCCAAAGGGAAGGGGCAGGGAGATAGGCAAAACAGGTGAAGGAGACTAAGAGATACAAAGTTCCAAATTGTAAAATAAATAAGTCACGGGGATGTAATATACAGCAGAGGGAAGATAGTCAATAACACTGAAGTAACTTTGTATGGTGACAGATGGTAACTAGACTTATCATGGTGATCATTTCGTAATGTAAAAAAATACTGAATCATTACGTTGTACACCTGAAACTAGTAATATCTTATTCTGTAATAACACTGTAGGTCAATTACACTTCAATAAAATAGATAAATGAAGATGAATATTCTATTAAAAGTTTCTCAGGGGCTTCCCTGGTGGCACAGTGGTTGAGAGTCCGCCTGCCGATGCAGGGGACACGGGTTCGTGCCCCAGTTCGGGAAGATCCCACATGCCGCGGAGCGGCTGGGCCCGTGAGCCATGGCTGCTGGGCCTGCGCGTCCGGAGCCTGTGCTCTGCAACGGGAGAGGCCACAACAGTGAGAGGCCCGCGTAACGCAAAAAAAAAAAAAAAAGTTTCTCAGAGGAAAATGCCACGAACATGGTAGTATAGTTTCCATAAATATGAGCCAAAATGAAGACAAATGAACAAGTATGCTATTATCTTGGTCCTATTACAATTAATGACTCAAAAAATAAGTAACTGTCTCAAGATAAAGGAGAGAATGCCAGGCACACTGCTCACTCATATGCCCCTTTTTCACTGTGTTTTAAGAAGTTACACTTTTTTTCCCCCTTAGATTCCATATATATGTGTTAGCATACATTATTTGTTTTCCTCTTCTATTTTT